CTCTGTGTCTGCTTATCAGCTCAGTACACACAGGAGACCTGCTGATGGCATACTGAATAGATTGTAATGAATAAATTGTATGGAAACCAAAAAGAAAAAAAAGACTGATAATTTGGGGCTGGATAGGAACTATGGTGACTCTGTAGTTAGCGCTGGGATGCAAACTGCGAGGTCAGCAGTTCAAACCCACCAGTTGCTCCAAAGGAGAAGGATGAGGCTGTCTGCTCCTGTAAACATTTATAGCCTCAGAAACCCTATACAGATAAAGTCGCTAGGAATTGCAATCAATGGCAGAAAATTTGAGCTTTTTGAGTTTGAGTTCTTTGTAGTAGGGGCTGCCTTGTGCATTGCAGGATGTTTAGCAGGTTTTCCGAATGCCACTCACTAGACCCTAGTAACAGCACATGTCACTGCCAGACATGTCCCCAGGCACTACCCAGTGTCCCCTGGGATAGGTCGGAAGGGTGCAAAATCACCTCTGGTTGAGAATTATCGCTTTAGGGTAAAAAAGATCAACCAGAGGAGATTCAAAAGAATTTCTGGTCCTACTTTCAGGTTTGGAATTTAATGGGCCAATTTGTAAATCTCGATACCAGCAAATAAACATTTCCTAGAAATGAGTATTCCAAATACTCCTGGTGGAGAGAGTCGGTATGTAGTTCCTGTGATACCTCCCCTTCCTCTTCACATTCTCCCATTTTAGCCTGGGTCTTTCTGAGAAAGGTCCAAAGGCGGGGAGTGTAAGAACAAAACATTTCCTTTTGGGAACAGCCACTAATATGTGGGCCAGATCAATTCAAGGTCACTCACTGGCCCTTGGAGTTTGGCTGAATCAGTGCAGGGCAAGCTCAGCCGAGGACGTCTTTGGTCCTGCCCGATGGAGGCTGGGAGGCTGAACTGGGGGGACAGAACCCACGGAGGAGCCATGGTGATGGGTGGTATATTCACCAACAGATTAAGTGCTGACGTGCATGAAACAGAACACAGAAATGGGCAGCACCCATGCTCTGCATAAATAGCTCTGGCTATTCAGGCACCAACAGGAGGAAAGGGGCAAAAAGAAACCATCTGAGGCCAGCAGTTGACAAAGTTTCCCAGCTCACTTGACTGGAAAGAGGAGAGAGACTTTATTCTAGGCAAGTGTCTGTTCACCTGATCCACATTGACTTATCAAAAGTAAAGACAGCAAGTTCAGCCTGACTGTGGTCTGCCTTTGGTGAAATACAGTGATTATGAAGCTGCCTCCAGCTACCACATGGGCTCGGCTTGACTGGCAATAGGAGACAAAGGACTGAAACTCTGCAGCAAGAGGAACACAGGCTAGACTTAAGGGAGAACTTCCCAACTACAAAGTATGACCAAAATTCAAAGGTGCAGGAATGCCAGATATCATACACTGGTGAAAGAAAACAGCTTTTCTTGCAATAAAGGCACGAAGTGACTGGCTTACAAGTTTTCAAGAGGGAGTTTAGTTTAAGAGTGTGCAGGGGGAGATAGAGTCCCCATTAAATAGCTTTCATCTTGTCTAGTTGGGTCTGGGGAAAAGAGATGGGGATAAGATTCTTATGATTGAATAGTTAAGTAATTGTTATCATGACTAATTGCAACTGTCACAGTTATAAAGGTAGAAGTTTTGTAACAAAAACAAGGGAGTAGTCCAGAAACAGAGGATCCAAGGACCATCAAGGCAGAAGAGCACAAGCGGAATGCGGTTCCTTATCCAGAGAAGCAGCGACACCAGAGAGGAAGGCAGAGATGGGGACATGGAGAGAGGGAGCAGCTGAGAACTCTAGATTCATGGAAAGAGAGGGACTGAGAGCTGGTAGCCAGGAGGCAGGCTTGCAGAATGTGCTCTTTGGTGGTTTAAATTATTATATATGCCTGAATGTTCTTTAAAAAAAAAAAAAAAGGCTAAAACGAATATAGAGAAGTATTGTTAACTGATGGTACATGGAGGGATTTATAATCATTGTAACGAAACAAGGTATGTGATTTGTTAAATGTAAAACTGATCATCTGCCCTATAAACTTTCACTCAAATCACAATAAAAACATAAAATAAATAAAAAGATTGCTGGAAACTCAACAGCAGTGGGTTTGCTTTGTTTCATTTCATTTTTGGTTTGGAGTTCACAGTGGCACTCCTCCAAACAGCCAGAGAGTGGAAACAACCCAAATGTTCACCAAGATATGAAGACATCAATAAATGTGGTACATAGCCATACAACCAAGCAATATTTTAAAAAGGAATGGCATACTGCCCTAGGCTACAATACAGATGGTCCCCTGCAACATTATGCTAAATGAAGGCAGTCAGACACAAAAGGTCAACTACAAAAAAGCACCACAAAACTTGTGGAAAAAGCAAATGAAGAGGTAATGGAATATTTCCACAAACTTTTGGAAGTCCCCTTGTATTGCAGAACTTCATTCATATGAAATGCCCAGAATATGCAAGAAAAGCTACAGGCACCAAGGAGCTTACTGGTGGTCTAGCTTGGTTGGGAGGGGGTGGGGGGGATCGGGAGTGACTGGTAACGAATATGAGGTTTCATTTGTGAGTGTGGAAAACCTTCTAAAATTGTGGTGATGTTGGCCCAACTCTGGAGACTAAAAACAATTGGATTGCACACTTTAAATGGACGGTCTGTGTGATGTATCAGTTATAACTCAAGAAACTTGCTATTATTATTTTTCTTCTTTTTGTTTAAAAAAAAAAAAAAGGAACCACAGAAAACACTAGAAACCCTTCTGTGAGTCTAATACAGAGGTATGAACAACCAGGAAACCACAGAGAGCTGTAAGCCAGGAGCAGAATGGGATCCCAGTCCCGTGGAAGTACTGTGTGGGCCCTTGCTCTTTGGACATCCAGTGGCTTTCCGCTGCATTGACAGCCAAACCCCAACCCCCTCATCTGTAAGGCCCTGCAAGGCAAGCCCCCTCTCTCACCTTTCTGTTCTCAACTGTCTGGCCACATTGGCTTCCTTTTTGTTCCTTAAGCAAATTGAGCTTGTACTGATCCCTGAGCCCAGAACACTGGGTTCTTCCCCTTGTGGCTCCTTTCCAACCTTCCCATGACAATTGTGTCTCCCCCAGAAAGGGCTTCCCTGCCCACTCCCACCCCACACTGCCTGAGTTACTCCCCACCTATTATCCTATTTTTTATCATCTTAGTGTTTAATGCTAAGGCACTCTGGTACTATGAGCCGGGCTGCTGAAAGCAAGGTCAGCTAGTGGATGGATCTACCATGCATCCTTTCCTCGGAAGAAACGTGAGGTTTTCTGCTCGGTTTAAAGCCTTGGATGCCCTATACAGGGTCACAGAGTTAAAACAGACTCCACAGCCCAGAACCTCCACCAGCCAACATTTAATATTATCTGAAACCATCTTTAGCTGTTGATTTGTTTATTGTGTTTCTTCCCTGAGGGAAGAGGTTTGTCTGTACCACATTTACTGCTACATGCCCCCAAACCTACAACAGTATATTATACACAGTGCTGTAGTTAAGTGCTGTCGAGATGGTTCCGATGCATAGCGACTGTATACAGTTTCCTAGGAGCAGCTGGTGAGCTTGAACCACTGACCTTGTGGTTCAAACCAACTCTACAGTCCAGCGTATTAACCCACAGAGCCACACCAGGACTCCATTACACACAGTAGGTGCCCACTGAGTGACTAATAAAAGAAACAAACAAACAGCTCTTTCCTGGTACTCCTCCAGGGCTGCTCTATTCATGCACACTCTGATGTCACTGCTGTGACATCACAAAAGTGTGATGTCACATCGCTGTACAATGTGCTGTCCTGATGCCTCAGCCACGAGGGCAGTTTTTCTAAGAGCTGCTCAGGGACCAAGCACTGAACACATGCCACGGTGTCTGTAATTAGTCCTGGGACAATCAGGGAGGCATGTGGCATCTCATTAGCAACAGCTGACATCAAAGTAGGGACCACCAGACCAGAAAAAGCACCTCTTCTCTCTCCATGTTAACATAGGGTCAGGTCAAAGCTTCAGAAAGGGAGACATCTGAGGAACCTTGCAGCTGCAAGTTGGACCAGTGAAGCAGGAAGGGAAGCTGGGCCCTGAGCATCACACCAGCTGATAAGACAGTGCCCGCTCCACAGAAGTCTCCTTCAGTATGCAAAGACGGTCAGGAAGATGCTTGAACCCAGAATTCTCCGAGGACTCCCAGGCTGCCTCCCAGAGTCTCCCAGTTTCTGAATTCCTGGTTGTGGAGAACAGGAAGGCAAGTGGCTGAGAAGGGGGAAGTTCTGTCTTGCTCTGGCAGGTGCCAAGTGGACAGGGGTCAAAGGTGAACAGGCCACCCTCCCATTAGTAATAACGGCAGCTGTCGTTGACCCAATGCTATGGAGTGCCTGGCCCAGTGCCCCATGTGCGACACGCTTCAGGATTTTTCATCCACACCCAATGCACCGAGGGCTCGGGAGCTCACAGGTTTTGAGAGGATGGCCTGAGGTCACAGCGGGCAGGAGCAGCAGCTGGGATTAGAACCCAGTCCCTGCTGACACTGTGCTTACATGCTCAACCCTCGTATCTGTTCTGAGTGAGGCCCCATTTGTCACTGTAGTCTCATGGTCCCTTTATTGAGTTGGTTCTGATTCTTAATGACCCTATACAGGGTTCCTAAGATTATAAATCTTTACAGGAGCAAACCGTCTCAACTTTGTCCTACAGAGTAGCTAGTGGGTTTGAAGGGCCGACTGTACGATGTCTTACCCTACAGTGCCACCTGGGCTTACTTGAGAGCTAAGAGGAGTATAATGATGATCACTGTCCCCATGATTTTCTCGAGGAACCGGAGGCACAGCAGGCCCTAGAGCCACCTTACAGGAAGACCCAGAACTTGTCCTGCAGCCTGGTGCTCTGGGGACCCAGACAGGCAGAAATGAGCCACTGTCCAAGGGTGTCTGGCCAGAACCTCAAAGAGGAAACTCGGGCTCTGTAAGTCACTTCCCCTTATTGGCAGGCTACCCCTACCTTCATCCTCAGCGTCTTGCTCCTGCTCCGCATTGGCGTAGGTGCGCAGAAACTCGGCGAAGGCCCCATCCCGGGCCAGCAGCTCCTGGTAGGAGCCCATCTCTGAGACCTTGCCACCACTCATGACGATAATCTTGTCTACCTGCGGCAGGTAGCTGAGGCCGTGGGTGACCAGGATCCGCGTCTGTGGGCAAATGTAGGCCAGTTCCGTCAGTATAGGTGTGAGGAAGCCCAAATCACGATAGCCTCAGTTTCTGCAGACAGAACTGAAGCAGGAAGGCAGAGCACATAACGGACAGGGAAGTTTGCAGACCCATCCGAATCCATGGGGACAGGCATTCAGCATATGTGCCTGGGCCTACAATGTGCCAGGCACGCGCTGGGCACTGGGGCAGCATCAGGAAACCAAACAAAGCTCCCTGTCTCAGACTTCAAACAAACTGGGGGCCTGGACTTGAGTACTAAGCAGAAAAGAGATCAGATATACAGAGGGTGCAACAGCCCTGGTTGTGCAGTGATTAAATGCTAGTTTGCTAATCAAAAGTCCAGTGGTTCAAAACCACCAGTCATTCCACGTGGGTAAGATAAGGCAGTTTGTAAGAATTTACAACTGTGGAAACACTGAGGTGGGCAGTCTTACTCTGTTCCCTAGGGACGCTGTGAGTTAGAGTTAACGAGAAGACAACAGATTTGACTAGTTTTTTTTGGTTTATACTGAGGATGGGTGCTTTGTAGTTTTCACAGGGTGATCAGGTTTTTTAAACAAAAACCTGCAGGGGGTATGGGTGGGGGGCTTCCAGGCATGTGAATGATGCAATTGCAGAACAATCTGCATGCAGTGGCCTCAATTTTTTTTTAAAGTTACCCTTTCACCCCTACCCCCAAGGAAGAAAAACTAGTATAAAACTGAAACCCTGCTGGATAATACACTGGACTGCTAACCACAAGGTTGGCAGTTCAAACCTACCAGCTGCTCCAAAGGAGAAAGATGAGGCTTTCTGCTCCTGCAAAGATTTAGTCTTGGAAACCCTATACAGGGTTGCTATGAGTCAGAACCGACTTGACAGCAGTGGATTGGGTTGATATAAATTGTCTGATAAGTTTGGTTACGGACATTCATCAAACTAGAATCCAAAGTATTTATAGAGCAAAGGCCAGAAAACTTTTCCTTAAAGGACCAGATAGTAAATACCTTTAGCTCTGTGGCCATCCGGTCTCCACATAAACTACTCAGCTCTGCCTTATATTTAGTGTGAAAGCAACCAGAGACCATATGTGAATGAATGGGCATAGCTGGATCTCAATAAAACTTTACTTATAACCACTGTATACAAATTTAATAGAGTTCTCTCACATCCCCAAAGAATATTCTTCCTTAGATCTTTTTTTTCCTCCAACCATTTAAAAATGCAAAAACTCTTTATTACTAGCAGACTCTACTAAAACAGGCAACAGGCCAGAGAGTTGTGGCCCACCAGCTCCAGTGTGTGGACCCCCTTTGCTCTTGAGAATGGAATGAGAAGAAAACGATGACAGGGACACCTTTTTTTCCCTTTACATAAACTCTCGTATTCTTTGATTTTTGTTTCCAGGAGCATGAATTACATTGATCATTTAAAAAAAAAGTTTTTCAGTATTTAAAAGAAAACAGTTAACATGCTGCACTGTTGATTTGGACAGAAAGGCTGGAGATTCGAATGTTCCCAGAGGCACTTCAGAAGCAAGGCCTGGTGATCTTCCCTGAAATCAGTCACTGAAAACTCCATGGAGCACAGTCCTCGTTTGGCATCCATGGGTCGTCACGAGTCAGAATCGACTCCATGGCAACAGGGTTTCTGGGAGTGCCTACAGTACATTAAGTGATACGACACTTGGATCCACGTATGATGTGATAACCCTATTTAAAAGTTTACGCACACGACAGAAAGACTACAAAGAAAGACTATCTCTAAGCAGTGGGACTATGTGGGACCGTTCGTTTTGTTTCCCTATGAAATGTTCTCCTGAAGCTTCATGGGAAACTCCACAGTGAAGTGACTTGCTTTGTGGGGCATGAGAGGTGGTATTCTTTCAGAGACATGGGCAGCTTTTATGATTGAGGAAAACAAACATAAGGAAGAATAGGTATCCTTCCCCCAAATTACATGGGAGCCACTTCGCCACTTCCTATCTTGGGAAGGCAGGAGGCTGTTTCTCTGCCCCATGCCTCGACCCTGAAGCCACAGACTCCTCAGCTCAGTCCTGAGATGGGATTTCCTTCTGGAAAGCTGCTCTGTTACTTAATCGGGATGTGGCCCCCGCCGCCTCCCCCCCTCCCCCCGCCTTTGACCAAGTGGGCTCAGAAGTCAGTGCAGAGGGCTTACCCTATAAAGACAAGAGCGAGGAGGGTTTTTTAGGAAAGCTTCCAAGGTAAGCCTTAGAACTGTGATTTTTAAAGGCTAGCAAAAACATTTGGGAAGGGCTGGATCCCAGCAGGGAACACATTCTGACTTCACCAAAGAGGGAGACAGCACATCCCCTGGTCCCCCTCCTTGGCCCACCCTTCAGCTGGTACCTTGTTCTTCAGCATCCCCTTGGGGCCCATGACATTTTCAAATATGTGCTTCCCCACGTGAGCGTCCACGGCCGAGAGAGGGTCGTCAAAGAGGTAGATGTCTGAGTCACAGTACACAGCTCGGGCCAGGCTCACACGCTGCTTCTGGCCCCCAGACAGGTTCACGCCCTGGTGGGAGACAAACAAAGCCACAGGCAGATTTCTAGAAAGCTCAAGAGATGAGGGCAGCCTGCTGAGAGGCTGGGGCCCCGCAAGGCTGCTTCCGCCTCCTCCTGATTCAGTCTGTGGCTAAAGCCGGAGGACTGCAGCCCCAAACACACGGGTCCAGTCTCTGCTCCATGGCAGCCAGGGCTGCAGCGGGCAGGGCTCTCTGCCTGCTGGCACCAAACAGTGTTGGCTCATGTGGGCCTCAATGCAGGCAGCAGGAGACAGGACGATAATAGGGTTACTATACTGTGATTACTGTTCATAGCTGGGGCTTCTGTAATCTACCCCAGTGAGAGCGCTGAAATCTGGCCCCCATGCCACCTGCCACTTGTTAATGTGGACTGAAAGGGTCAGCAGTGGCTCCGGCTCTCCTGTGACAGATAACCCTGCCATTTCTATATTTGGCCGAGGAACTATAGTCAACCCACCCACTCAGTTAACTGGACAGCACCCACTAAAAAACACCCGTTCTACCCACAAAGTCCTATCAGGAGGATGGATCAAGACCAGGTGGTGTTTTGTTCCATTGTACATGGGGTCACCGTGAGTTGGAGATCAACTCCATGGCAGATTCCAGTAACGTGGAGTCTGAAACACTGACACCTTTCTTTGCCCCTCGGTCTGGGACTCCACAAGAACCCCGATGGCTAAGTCTGAGCCAAATCTGCAGCCTGCCTGAAGCCCAGCTCAGCCAGCCTGCATCGAATGGCAGAGCCACCTGGCTGAGCCCAGCCTGCATTCAGAAAAGTCTTTTGTCACATGACAAAGAGCCCACGGACCCAGGGACCCATGCTGAAGCCATACTGACCTTCTCCCCGATCTCTGTCCGGTCCCCACTGGGCAGGATCTCCAGGTCTGGGAGGAGGGCACAGGATTCGATCACAGCCTTGTAATAGCGTTCCTGTAGTTGCCGTCCAAAGATGATGTTTTCACGGAGGGAATCGTTCTGGATCCAGGCCTGCTGGGGCACATAGGCCACTGAGCCCTGTGGAGAGGGACAGGTCAGGATTAGCCACACAGCAGCCAGCCTGCTCCACAAGACACCTTCATCACACCTTTGAAGACGAGAGAAACAGAGTCACAAAAGACTGTAGATGCCTGAGCTGGGATCGGAAGCCAGAGGCTGCCTCCATTACCCTGCCATAAAGAGCTGCCATCTTCCTCCAAGTGATCCTGTTATAGACTGAGGCACTATGACAAAGGACTTACATCAGAACAGATGTAAAGCCCCTGCTTCCACCGAGCGGAAGACCATGATGGAATTTAAAAAACTACGATCACAGTTTTGGCAAATGTCAAGAGATAAAAATAAACTCTACCTTTACAAGTGAGGTGGGAGACCATGTTTATGTGGGGGCAGCAGAGAAGGGTACCTTGAGAAACCTTCCCTGAGAAAACAGAACAAGGAGTTGTGTAAAACCTCAAAGGTTATTTTGTTTCTTTCCCACACAATGCAAGGTGTCAAAATGGCTAGAAGGTAAGGGTTACAGTAAGGGCATATTTTCCCCCACATGCTCTTTAGTAATAGAAATACTGAAATTCTGTTTCTTTAAACAATTCAAGCAAGGACAGAAAAGTGAGAGCAAGTTGGTCTGACAGAGCACCCGGGAAGAGCATGTCAAGCAGAAGGAACAGAACATGCAAATGCCTGTGGAGCAGCACACAACGGTGTGGTAATCGACATGGCATGGAGATGAGATAGCTGGGAAATGAGCTCTGAGTCACAGAGCCGGGAGCAGCTCTAGGCTTTAGCAGGAGACATGCTGGAGACTCTTTACCGAGGGAATTCCAGCAGGACTAAGTTGTGAGCAAAATCCAGGCACTCTGACCCTTCACCTCACTTCTCAGATAAGTGACTGTCCTGGGTTAAATCATGTTCCCCGAAAAAAAAAAAAAAAAAGTCTTGGAATCCTAACCCCTGCACCTGTGGAAGGTCGGTGTGCAGCTGCTGACTTAAAAGTTAGTAGTTTGTGCGTTCCATGGTGCCGTGGAAGAAAAGCCTGGCCATCTATGAAGGCTACAGCCGAGAAATCCCTCTGGAGCATTTCTACTCTATAGCATCCAGCAATGCTGTGAGTTGGAGTCAACTCTGCTCCCAGGGTTTTATACCCGGAGACAGGGCTTTCTTCGTTGTGTTACAGAGGCCATCTCAGGATAGCATGGGTCCTACACTTCGAGTTTCTAAGGGGCCGTGAGAATGCAGAGACAAGTGAGCATGAATGTGGGGAAGACAGCGCCATGGGAAGAAGGAAGCCAAGGGCAACCCGAGACATAAGACCTTCCCCCCAGAGCTGACACACAGACAGCTTGCCCCTGGAGCTGGTGCCTCAAATTCGTTCTTCTAGCCTCCTAAACTGTGAGGAAACAGATGTCTGTTCTTTAAAAGTCACCCCTGGCTTCTATGGCATTTCTGGTACAGCAGCACTACACAACGCCAAGGGTAAAACTACACTGCTGATACCACACAGCCCACAGTGAACCTGTATGCTAATTTAGAACGGTAGATCATTCAGGCATGATCTACACATGTCATACCAATCGAAACGTGGCAAACAGACAATTTAAAATCCAGTTCTCAATCTTCCTTGATGAGGAAAATACACACTACTGCTGTTCCAATTCACAGTGACCCTGCAGAGGATTATCTTTACGGAAGCAGAAAGTTCTCATCTTTCTCCCACGAAGCGACTGGTGGATTCAAACTGCTGACCTTACAGCTAATAGTCCAATGCGTAACTCACTATGCTACCTTGGCTCCTTAGCACAGAACAAGTAGCAGGAACTATATTGTTGTTCTAGTTAAGTACCGTCAAACTGGGTCTGACTCTAGTCCTGGTATGGCACTGTGGGATAAAGCACTAGGTTGCAAGGTTGGTGGTTCAAATTCACCAGCCACTCCTTGGAAACCCTCTACAGGGGTGCTGTGCGTCAGAAGTAACCTGATGGCATTGAACAACAACATCAACAGCATAGTGACCCTGTATAGGGTTACTGAGGAGAAGCTGATGTGTTTTGAACTGCTAACGTTGAAGTTAGCAATCCAGGGCTTATCCTACAGCACCACACCAGATGATCAAAATCTATAACCTTCTCAAACCAAACACTTACAGCACCCTCATTTCTAGATTTCTCACTTTGTGTTTAGAGATCTTTTACTGCTAACACAGTGGGTTTTCTTCAAAGGGTGGTGATTTTGCTCACCAGGGGTCATCTAGACATTTCTAGTTGTCACAGCTGGGAGGTACTACTGACGTCTAATGGGTAGAGGTCAGGAATGCGACTCCTACATTATATAGATCTCTACATTGTATATGACTCTACAGTGTATAGATCAGTCCCTACAGTTAAAACGTACCCAGCCCATAGATTTCAGACTTGCTGGAACTGTATGGCTGGAGGAATCACACACTATGACCCTGGGATCATCTTTGAAACTTAAAACTAAAAATAACTCCTAAAGACTTCTTAACACCAAACAAGCTTAACTAGTGAAGAATGTCTGCTTAGATTATGTGCTTTTAAAAGTACGACATCCATCTATGTGGAACACCAAACTGACCATGTTGTTGTTAAAAGTGCCGTAGAGTCGGTTCTGACCCATAGCAACCCTATATAGCGTTTCCGAGGTGCAGCTGGTCAACTTGAACTGCCAACACCTTGTGGTTCAAACTGACTTTGCAGTCCAGTGCAATAGCCAACAGCGCCACACCAAGACTGCAAACTGACAACAGCAATTAGAAAGATGAGTGCAGACCCTTAGGGGATAAGGCATAAGCACTAGACTGCTAACCATGAAGCTGGCCGTTCAAAGCCACTAGCCACTCCTTGGAAATCCTATTCAGGGTCACCGTGAGCTTGAAGCAACTCAACGGCACTTAACAACAAAGAAGGGGCAGTGAGTATTTGCTAATAGGGGAGAATTACTCAAGAGGAGGAGGATGAGAACGGCTGTAATCAATGTCGCCTAACTATACAGGTAGAAACGGTTGAACCAGTGTACATTTGGCTGTGTAGAGTCTCAGCAACAACAAATAAAAAATATTTTAAATGTTAAGAATTATCCAGCCCAAAAGGTCAATACAGTTGACCCTTGAGTGCCAGGAGTCTGAAGTGTGTGGATTCACTTATACGTGGATTTCGTATGGAGACTTCTGTGGTGGGCTCAAGCATTGCAAACATCTGCTTCAAATGTCATGTGATGGTAAACATCTCTATGGGTACAGCTCGTCTATCCAGTCCCACCTCACGCAGAGATGACTGGTGTCATGTGGCATTTTAAGCAAATATTCACAACATGTGAGTCGCTGCAATAGCAGCAGGAAACGAATCCACACACAAGTGGGTCCACAAAGCTGAAACCTGTGGTGTTCAAGGGTCAACTGTAAATTACACGCCAGTTTCCAACTGCATGGGAGGCTGACGTCTCTAACCCCCAGTCTGTTCAAGGGTCAACTGCATTGTTCTGTGGTAGAGGAAAACTGGGTTAATGAAGCAAGATGTTGTGTAGATCCTATACTGACTGGTGCTTCCCTTTCATTCATCTGGCTCACACTGCCCTAAAATCTCAATGTATAATACGTAAGTAAGGACAGATTTCTTTTAAAAAAAAACCAAACAGCTAAATGTCATTAATTTGGACCCACTTATGGAACTGTAGGATAAACAAGGTTGTGGTATGAACTACAAGGTTGAAGGTTCAAACCCACCAGTTGCTCCTCAGAAACCCTATACAGGATCGCTATGAGTCGGAACCGACTCAACGGCACTTAACAACAACCATAACATCAGGATCCCTGGTGGCACTGTGGGTTGAGCACTGGACTGCTAACTGTAAGGTCAGTGGTTCAAACCCACCAGCTACACTCCTCAGAAGAAAGAAGAGGTTGTTGGCTCCCATAAAGAATTAGTGCCTTGGAAACTCTATGTAGGGTCACTATGAGTTGGAAAGGTTTACCAGCACGTACACTTTCATGATGTGCACTAAAGGGAATCATATAATCAAAAAGAAAGGGCTGCGAGGTCCCTGGGACCATCAAGGGAGAAGAGTAGAGAGCGGGACCCTACCCAGAGAAGCAGTGATGCCTGAGATGGAGGCAGAGACGATGACGTGGAGAGATGGAGCAGCTGGGGACTTTAGACCCAGAGAGGGAGAGGGGCTGTGTGCTGATGACCAGGGGGCAGGCTTGTAGTGTATATAGCCTTTGGTTGGCTGATGATGCATGGAAGGGATTGTAACCATAGCAATGAAACGATACACGATAGGATGAATGTAAAACTAATGTTCTCCCATGTAAACTATCACATAATTAACAATAAAACCATTAAAGAAATAAAGAAACAAACGGTTGTGCTCTAAATAAAAGCAGTGGGATAAAACAGTATTTCCCAAAGTGGATTCCAAGTGGCCCCAATACTAGGTATATA